TAACAAAATTTTCTTTATTTATACATTGTGCACTCACACACACATTTGGAATGTGGGACATGTGGCCAAACAGGGTACAGAACATGTATGATCATATTAAAATGTATCATAACTATTTAATAAACCTCCAGTAAATCATTTGTGGTGTACGTGTAGTTCTAAGAAAACTTGCAGATATAAAAACCATTGTGAAAAATAATTGCCAATTGCATAATTCTTATGGCTGACATGACAACATACACTTCCATGTGTTCCAATTCACTATTCAACTCACTCTTCAGGATTGGAAATAAATACATACTGACACTACTACTAAAAGGCTCTGATGTACATAGCCCATCACTTGCTCTAGAGGGTTTTAACGGTGTATCATAGCCCTCGTTATATTTAATACAAGGTTGATAAATAAATTATAGCTATCACAGTAAGTGCTTCCAACTTTAAACTTATCTATTTTGTACAATGGATATAACTACCCTCAAGCACTGGAGGTAAGATTTATTGTTACAAATGTTATCAAAATTAGTGGATTTATGGTCTGCTATTATTTGCTGTAAATTTGAATGGTTAACATTAATTTAGTCACTTCCACTTAAACTTGGATCTTACAGTACATATCCTCAAGCTGAATCTATTCAAATATTGCCATCTGCCCTTATACTGCACTCTTTAGAAGAGGGTGGAAATATATAAATAATAAATAGTTTGCACATCTTACAGATTCACACAAAGATATCAGACAGAGGTGCACCTTCTGGTCACTCTGATCAAAATATAGTCTGGAAAATGCTATTGCTAACATTTCTAACTGAAACCTTGATTGTAAAGAAAGGTTAAATTTTGGTTCACTGTGTGGCACGTATTCATCAATAATGATCATGATTGATGACTAAGAGACCTTTGGTAATTTTCCAGGATACCAGTCTCAATGCACTATCTTAGTAGAAAGTGGTTTTTAAAAATGTTCATGATTACCTCCAACCAAACCTTATATGCAAAAAAATAAAGGTAACTGGATTAACCAGCTGTGCTAATATCATCACCATAGTAAAAATGAACTTTCCTAAAAATCTATTATATAGAACAAGTCACTGGCTATCACTACCGGCATCATTTGAAAAAACAAAAAACAAAAAAACAATGAGCCCACATGGGCTGAGTATTGACCAGTTACCCAACTGAAACCACTGGTATAATTTTTCCCCCCCTCCAAATATATTTCGACTATATCCAAGTTTTTAAAACCATAAATCGGCGTCAATAGTTTGTAACTTTTTATATTCATTGTCTTTCTATGGGTTACTCTCAGTGCATTAGAATGGACTGTTTTGCCCTTAGTTGTCTAGGCAAATGCTTACTCTCTTTTCCCCACTTTCAACTGTGCAAGCTTCTTTCATGCATTGTGTCATTACATACAAAGTTCACAAGGACTGACAACATATCTGAGTACCATATTACACCACATGTATTTATCAACTATTACAAAAATATCTAATATACCTTAAATTATATAGAAAAAAGTAAGAAAAAAAATTATGAATATGAATAAGAAAAATTACTCATTCCTGTAGGAACCTGAACTTCTTCCTATAAAACTGTGATAATCCATCAACCAATACCAGAGCCAAAAGGAAAAGGGACAAAATCAAAAAAAAAAAAAAAAAAAAAAAAATTAAGAACTTGTACTGTAGAACAAATACCATCTGCAATCTATTCTAAATTTTCTTCCTCCTTTTGTTACACAGTTCACATCTGTAACATCAACCTGCATGAAGTTTATAAAATATTTAATTAAACTTATTAAGCTATGAATTTCAGCTGTAATGACAGCCAGCCATACAAGTAATTGAATTAACGGATAGTAATAGTAAAGTCCTCTTGCATACTGACTCCTGGCTTGCGTATGGTTAGCTGGCTTCCCTGCGTGGCACTTCCACTTTCAAATGTGCTTTCCAAGTCCCGGGTGCCCACTGCTGTAAGAAATAAGAGATTATGAACAATGATATTACAAGCAAAAAAAATATATATATATCTCACCAAATTTAACCCATTGGATCGAGTTGTGTCACAGCAATCAAATCACCAAAAATCCAGGCATTAGGCTTATGTGAGTTGCTGCTCTGCCAGGTGGATGCTTGTAGGTTGGGTGCACCTGAACACATGTGCATGGTAACAAAACTCTATGCCTCCTACTTGCAAGGTTATCTACTCTTTTTACACAAGTGTTTTAGCTTTTTGGCCATTTTCCAATGCCCATATTTGCCATTTGATTTGCATTATCCAGATTATCTTTAATCATTTCTGTCTAGGTAGTCTATAACTCAGTGCAAGAAAAATAAAACTATGTAACACTATATTATTTGTCATTTTTAAAAATAATGCAAAATCACCAAATGAGTAAAATAAACCTCCCAATAAGTTTGTGCGCTAGTGGCGAGTCTTTTCCTTCAATTGCAATGCTCACAACGGCAGGTTTGTGCCACCCAGCCTACAGCCAGATTTTCCCGGGACAGCACGTTCGTATCACCTGCTCCCCCAACCCAGATTTTTTCATGACGTGATGGTCATATCACCCAGATCCAACAGGTTAATTAATCATCAACTGTGAAGCAATGCCTGTAAATTATGATTACCATAAATCAGATCAACAAATGTATCTACAAAAAATTAGACCATTAATGTTTCCCTATTACACAAATATACAAACAAATAATATACTCACTGGCACTATTGACTGATACTTTTGTAGCTTGCTTGGGGAGCCCTATGACGATAACTCGTTCTAGCCAGGATGCAGTATCATAGCTTCCATTTGGATCAATCTTCTTTGAGGTCAAAACACCAGCTTCATATGAGAAAGCCAAATACAAGAATTTGCCCTGCAATAAAATAAAAAAATTATTAATGTGTCCACTCATACACATAAATCACATGTCCCAAACCTGTAATTCTTTCAAAGTCTTCTTGTGTGTCTGCATTCTATTTTTCTATTTATCATTTAACCTTTGAATTCATTGGAAACAAGCCTTGGCTGCTTCTTACATACAAAAATGTGTAAAACAAAGGTGCAACAGACAAAGTAAAATAGGTAAACTCAGCAGAAAAAGAAAAAAGAGGAGGAACTCACCTGTCTGTAATCAAAAGTGTGTTCATCATCTATGTATAGTGTGCCTTGTGCCTTCCCATCAGAATCCAAGGCTATGACAAGCGTGTAGGGATCTTCACGCATGAGGGTAGAAGCACGACGAACTCTGTCCTTGCGGGGAATAATAGCTCCACCTCGCTGGAATACAGGGATCTGTGGGGAAAGAGTGGAAATTATCATCTCGTCATTGAGAAAGTTTGGCTTTTACCTATACTAACACAAATTTCCAACCAAGGAACATATAACTAGGTAGCTCCACATTCATTTAGCCTTTTCAACCTAAAAATTGAATTGACTTTTTCTCCCAAGAGCATTCTTTTGATGGGTGTTAATGGTAAGGAACTCTTCATTATCATAAATATCAGAGGGGCCCTGCCCTTTCATTTGACCTGTCAATCTGTGTTTTTATTTTTTTCTCTCTCTCTTTTATGCATTTTCTTTGAAAATGGCTCAGTCTTGACAATGGCTGATAGATAAACAAAAATGAAACAAAGAAGAAAGAGAATGATAAAAAAATTCAATGAATAAAGACAAAGATGGCAACTAGGATTTTTATTAAGACAAAATATGGAGACATCCATTTCAAATGATCTTGTTTCCAATATTATAACATTATAACACAAGGCAAGTACAAACTAAACCATCTTGAGGAGGCATTCACCATAATTTTTAGTCAATTTTTTTCTTAAAATATTAGAGAGAAAAATTGATTTGACAATGCTGCCCTAGATTGTGGTGAAAGTCGGTAGGGCAATAATAATAAATAGACAGTAGCCTTTTCTTTTACCCCCCCCCCCCCTGCATACAGGGGATAATGCATATCACTCGGTTGGCAGTCGCACCAAATGAAATCATTTTTATAAATCTATTCAAGTCTGGAGTGTGGGACTATCTGATTGCTTGGTGAAAATATCTAAACTGCCAAACCTTTTTTGTTTTTGTTTTTGCTCACAACTTTGTAAAAACTTATACAATTTTCTTTATTTATGTTGCATTTTCTAGAACAGAATATCATTCACTATAGGAGAAGTTAGCCCAAAAATATGGTGCAGCAAGCAAGAAAAATTACAAATTTACTTTTTATTTTGGTTATTTATTCACCAAATGAAACCAAACTCAAGATAAATAATCTCTAATAACAACCACCAGATAAAATATATTACAAAATATAGATCCCATGACGCTGACAGGCCCATGAATGACTCTTAACCCCTTAACGCTGGGTGACGCCAATCGGCGTGAAAACAAACCGCTCGAAAGCTGGCATGCCGCTGTACACCACGGTGGCGTGCCAAAGTGCAGCGAGCCAGTGATTCGGGTTGATGTCCCCTACTCACACGCTCAAAGTCGGCGCACCGCCTTTGTTTGCTACAGAGTAGAGTTTTTTCTTGTTTTGTACACCCGGTGCCATTGGGTTAAAGAAAGAAAGAAAGAAACAAACAAACAAATAAAGAAAGAAAGAAGGAAAGAAAAGAAAGAAAAAAAAGAAAGAAGAGAGCAGAGACCATATGCAAAAAAGTTCTCACACAAGTAGGAGAGACTCCTGAAAAAATATTTCCAACCCAAAATACAACTCTTAAACCCCAAAGTCCCTCACTAAACAATATCAGATTATGGCGTATATTTGAATAAAAAAAGGAGTGCACTTTACATCCCATTCCATAAATCCCTGCCAATCTCTTTCCACACCAAATAGGAATACTTATCAAGACGTTATTGCACCATCAACCGCGTCCCCTTGCTGCTGACTCGACCTTGGGGGAGGGCCGTGGTGGGCAAGCGCATGTCGCGAGTACATACCTGACGTCCTAGTGGGGATAGTACATGTTCGGGCTGTGAGGGCTCACGGGTTCGC